GGGCAGTTCTGTAGAGGAGATCTGAGTCAGGCAGGGTGAACTGAACCCAAGGGGACTGAGGTCCTGGAGAGTACATGACGCTGAGTGCCCAGAGCTATTTAATAAATGACATCTTAGGGCTGGGGAGATGGCCCAGTGGGGAAACTGTTTGTCACCTGAGTCTGGATCCCCAGAACCGGTATAAAAGCCAGACATGGTAGTACACATTTGTAATCCTTGTGATCTTGCAACAAAGTGAGGGGAGGACTAGAAGACTCTGGAAGCTTGCTGGCCAGCTAGCCTGGCATTTCCGGTGGCGAACAATAAGAGATCCTGTCTCACACAAGGTAGAAGGTGAGTGCTTATACTTCTGATTGACTTCTGACTCCCACATGTGTGCTGTGGCATACACAGACCCATACTCACACATGCCAACATGCATGCACACACACACAGACACACATAGGCAGAACACTTGGGTATTACAGGGACACTCACTCCCTTCCTGGGTCCTCGTTGTCCTCTTGGAAGCCGTCTGCCTCAGCCTCACCATGGACCTGCCTTGTTCAGGGCAGTTCATGCATACTAAATAAATGTTCCTGGCAGTAAATGCCAGGTGGTCTTATCTGTCTCGTCCCCTTCAGGGACAACCGGCTTTCCCAAGTGAGGAGGTGAATCGCTGGTTACTTCTGAGGGAGGTGTGGTGTTGCATAGATGGAGAGGGTGCGGGAGTGGGTCCCAGCTGTGCAGATTCAGGCTTGTTCCTCCACCAATCTGGCCCAGCTCAGGAGACTAGGGGGGACCCCCAAAGCCAGGCTTGGGAAATCTTGTGATTAGTTATACTATGGGGCTAGCCCACATATGGCTTGGTTAGAGGATGTGAGGTCTACAGGGAGCAAGGCAAGCCCACAATATGCACGCAGGTCAGATGGTCTTTGACATGTCCTGAGTTGTGGTTTACTGCATGCTGGGCTGGGAAGAGGAGGATGCCCTCCAGACCGAGGGATGTGCACACGGTCTAATCACAGCAGCATCCAGAGCATCTACGGCGCATAGGAGCCATTGCTCAGTGTCTCCAGAATGTGGACTATGATTGATGCTGGGCTTAAGGGTGGGGCTGGTGTTCTGGAGGCTCTGCGTAAGTGTGTGTGTGTGTGTGTGTGTGTGTGTGTGTGTGTGTGAGAGAGAGAGAGAGAGAGAGAGAGAGAGAGAGAGAGAATAATACTATATACAGCTTCAAAGTATTCAAAGGGAGAGACCAGCATTGCAGCTAAAAGGTAGAACCAGGGGATTGAGACCTATCATAGCACTGGGTTTGCTTCCCAGCACCTACGTGGCCACTCACAGTTGTCTCACACTCCAGTATCAGGGGACCTGACGTCTGGCCTCCAGAGACACTACATGCACATAGTGTACAGACATATATACAGGCAAAACAGGATCCGTCTATAATGAAAGGGACATAGGAAAAAGGGCAGCTCCTGCCTGGGAATGGCCGATGGGATGAGAGGCTATTGGAGAAGGGGCTTTCGGATTGAGTAGGCGTTCTCTAGGTAAGGGAGGTGAGGACCCACGAGGACAGGTGTGAGGTGATGTGTTGAATAGGGTCGGACACAAAGCTGTTCAGGAGATCACCTAGCTGTGGAGCATGGGACAGGCAGGGTCTGGGCAGGATGATGGGAGGGCTGGCTCAAGGGATTTATTATGCTGTAGAAGGGACAGGTAGATAGACTGTCAAGGGAGGCACCCAAGTAACCCCTTTAGAAAGGCAGGAAGGAGGCAGCAGTCAGCCAGGATCAACTGGACCAACGATGTTGATGGTCAAGCAAGATGAGACCTGCAAAGTGTCCCCAGGATTTAGCAGCCGAGAGAGAGCTGATGGCTTTGTCAGGACCAGTTTCAGGAGAAAGATGGGGGCAGCTGCGAGACTGCAGTGGATCAACGGGGGAGGTGACATTCCAGCCAGGAAGTGAGTGGCAGGTGAGAAAGTGGAGTGTCAGCTGGGGACCACTCAGCGGTATTGGATGGAAGCCAAGGGCAACAGCTCGAGGAGGAAGTGTGTATGTGTTAGCGGGGAGGCAGGGAGAGCACCCTAGAACAGAGGAAGCCTGGGTCAACCACTTGCTACAAGGAGAGGCTGCTGAGGGAACACTCACAAAAAGGATGGATGGGGGCCTTCTGGGAAAATGGACAAGAGGTGGCCACAAGTCAGGGCTTGAGAGGAGGCCCTAGCTTCTCCCTTAATTGGAAAGGAGGCTTCGGCTAAAGAAGTGGGTGAGATAGTCTTGAGAGAGCAGGTAAAGGCCAGTGGGGCTACAGAGGGGGTAAGGAGGGGGAACGAAGCCCACAAGGGCCTCTGAGAAACATGGATGTCTAGCAGACACAGAGCCCCCAACCTGTCACAGGGCCAGCTGGCTTCGCTCTAGGGCCTTCAGCAGCCTGGGAGTGGGTGTGGAGAAAGTGGCTGTCATACAGCTCTAGGCTGGGATGCCTGAGCAGGCGTGACAGAAGAGCTGGGTAAAGGGGACTGAAGAGCTGCTGGCCCGGCTCCAACATCTCTGAAGACTGCTAGAGACCGTGTCTTATAGTTAGTGTTCCTATTGCTGTGGTAAAACCCCATGGCCGAAGTCAACTCGAGGAGTAAAGGGGTTATTTCATCTTACAGTTTGTCCATCAACCAAGGAAGCCAGGAACTGAAGGCAGGAATGGGTGCACATGCCGTGGAGAAGCATTGCTTTACTGGAATGCGCCTATTCATGGCTTGCTCATCCTGCTTGCTTGCTTCCTTCATTTTTTCCTTTCTTCCCTTTCTTCTTCCCTCTCTCCCTCCCTCCTCTCTCTCTCTCTTTCTTTCTTTCTCCCTTTTTTTTTAATATGCTTTTTTCCCCCTTTCCTTCTCCCACTCACTCTGGCCCCACTTGCTCCAGCCCAAAGGTTTTTTTATTTATTTATTATATGTAAGTACATTGTAGCTGTCTTCAGACACTCCATAAGAGGGCATCAAATCTCATTACAGATGGTTGTGAGCCACCATGTGATTGCTGGGATTTGAACTCATGACCTCCAGAAGAACAGTCAGTGCTCTTAACCACTGAGCCATCTCACCAGCCCTCTTTCTCCCTTTTTGAGACAGGATTTCTCTGTGTAGCCCTGGCTGTCCTGGAACTCACTCTGTAGACCAGACTGTCCTAGAACACATAGAGATCCTCCTGCCTCTGCCTCCCAAGTGCTGGGGTTAAAGGCGTGCATTGCCACGCCCAGCTCAGTCTGCTTTCTTATACACTCGGGTCACCCACAGTAGGCAGGGCCCTCCCATATCATTTATTAATAAAAAAAATGCACTGCAGGTTTGCCTATGGGCCCGTCTGATGGAGGGATTTTCTCAGTTAAGATTTCTTCTCCTATATCTGGGAGGTTTATGTTAAGTTGACCAAAAACAAGCAGCGGAGGCTGAGACTGTACAAGGGCTCGAGGAAGCATGGAGGCTGAAGGGTGGTGGGAGAGAAGACAGCTCACATAATTCCTGTTGTCTTCCCTCAAGAGGGATCTTAAGGTTAATCCTGAAGGTGGGATGCTATGAACGCTGTTCTCCAGAGAAGCTGGGATAGGAGATAGGAAGGGGCTGCCCAGAGCTACTTAGCTGGCTAGTGTTGGTCCCCGGTGCCCATATTCCAGGGGAGGCCCAGTGATGCCTGGTGGTGTCCAGGCTTCTGACATTGTGTGGAAATTACAGCAAGTAGCACAGGCCCTGAGGCTGATTGGGATGGCAAGCCCTGGATACCGTGCAGGGGCAGTTCAAACCTGGGCAGTAGGTTTTCTGGAGTTGGCTGCTGGCCTGGTTGGCAGTTTCCTCAGGTGCAGAGGCAGCAGGGGGGCAAAGGAAAACAGCTCTCTGTGACCCCAGCTTGGTGCTGACCCAGCTTTTTGAACCAGAGGAGAGAGATCTAGGGGGGAAGGAGACCCACCCCTAAATGCTCTTCCATTCATCTGCCCAGCGGCCCCTCTATGGGTGTGGCCTTCCTTGTGCATTTCTGCTGGTCCTCACCTCAGCATCCAGTTTAAGGCTGTTAGCTTTGCCTGTACTGTATCAAAGGCCTGAGAGATGAGCTTGTAAAGAAGAAAGGTTATGTACTTACTTTGTGGGAAAGATTATTTCAGCTCACAGCTTGGAGGTTTCAGGCTGCTTTCCAGTTGTTGCTGCAGGAGAGCACAGCAGTGTGAATGAAACATGTATCAGGAAACCATCTCATTTAAGAATGCAAAGAAGGGACAAGGTCTGCTTATCCCCTTCCTGTCTCCAGGAACCACAAGACCTACTAAGCTCTACCCAATAGTGCCGCCTCCCAATAGGGCCAAACTGAGGCCAATACCTTAAACCCACAGGCTTTTGGAGGGCCCTGAAACTGTAGGAAGTGCTGCGTGCAGCAGAGCAGGCTCAAGCTTCCAAGCTCAGTGGGAGGAGAGTATAGGGTATAGCAGCTGGGTATAGGAGTCCTCCCCTGGGGCTCAGACCAGCTAGGGCCTTTGCATCATGGTCTGTTACTGTTTTACATTGAACATCAAGACCATGGTTCACCCCATGCAAATCATGACCCAAGAGTAGGTCTGGGGGTAGCCAGGCTCCTTTGTGTATCATTTAGGAGGAGAAACAGCCCAGCTGCAGGCTCGATGGGTTGTATGCTTCTGGATAAGTCATTCTCCAGTCCTTAGCTTCCTACCTTAACAGAGATGACAGTCAGTGAGGGGTTAAAGGTGATGGGTGTTAGGCATGTCTTGGGATAGTATGGACACCTCCCCAGAATGCAACATGTTGACCACCGCCCCCCAGTCCCATCTGAGCCTCAGTTTCTCTATCTGTAAAATGGTGGCGGGGGGGCAGAGGGCAGAATGGGACACTTTCTCTGCATCACCTACAGTTGGTTCCAGGCCCTCAGGCCGAGGACCAGAGGCTGCCGTCTGTACCACTGTGGCAGCACTGAGTGGCATTTGCTAAGCCCCTTGCCACCACTTCCGTGTTCCAGGTGAGGATCCGGAAGAGGAACCGAAGGTGAAAACCCAGTGGCCAAGGTCTGCAGATGAGCCTGGGCTATACATGGCGCAGACAGGTAACTCGGGCCCGCCTCTCTTCCTCTGTGGCGGGGGCCCGACTGTGGCGTCTGGTGGCATGTGTGCTGGCGTGTGCCTGTCTGTGTCTATGTCCTGGAGCTCAGTTATGTTGCCATGTGAGGCCTGTGGGCAGGGATGGGTTGCCTTTTAAAGAGCCTGCCACTTGGGGTCAGGGTAGGAGGGTCCCTTTGACGCCTCCCTCTCCCCCATCTTTCTGGTCCTTCCATGCTCCCATGCAGTTCTCTGGGAGGTGTCCCTTGCTGCGACGCTGTCCCTCTCTCGTAGGCGACCCAGCAGCTGAGGAGTGGTCCCCGTGGAGCGTGTGTTCCCTGACGTGTGGGCAGGGTCTGCAGGTGCGGACCCGCTCCTGCGTGTCCTCCCCCTATGGGACCCTGTGCAGCGGGCCCCTCCGGGAGACCCGGCTTTGCAACAATTCAGCCACCTGCCCAGGTAGGCGTCCTCTTTCCTGCCCTATCTGCCAGCAGAGTCAGGTCCTGTCTGTGACAGGACATAACATAGCTGTCCCCACAAATGATTGGTTACCCCATTCCTTGCCTTCAACAAACTTGCCTGTCCGCCATAGTATACCTTACCCAGGCACTATGCCAGCCTGGCATGAATCACTTGGGGCTACGATAGAATCTGAACATACATCTGGCTCCCACTCTGGGCACTTCACATCCCTGGTGCCTCCATCTTGGTAGTCAAGGCTGTTCTCCGCACATCGGCTCATCCCCTTTCCCTCAGTCCTGCCCTTACCAGCGCCTCTGGCAGCATCTCAGCTCTCTGCGTTGGCTTATTCTTGCCCTTCCCTCCCCCGCCCTGGCTAAAGCATTCATCCCACCCTTAGATCTAAGATGTATACCACTTTATTTTAAAATGATACCCTCCCCTATGGTCCCCACTTTGCTCTGGGCTCCCCTTCCGCTTCCTTGGGTGCCTCTGCTAGACCATTATGCTTAAAGCAGTTAACAGGCAGGAACTGCACGCAGGTACTGAGGAAATGCATGTTGTCTGCCTGGGGCAGTTGGTGACTGAGAGACAGGCCGGTGTCAACCAGTTCTGCTCTTTGCTTCCCTGGGGTGGAGAGCTGGCAGTGGATTTAGAGTAGGGCCTACTGGGGGAGGCTCTCAGAGCCTGGGAGTGTAGCAGGAGCTTGTGGAGCACAGGGACAAAGCTGTGTTCTCTCTTGTGAGTTCATTGTGTCTGTCAGCGTCTGTGTAGAGGTTCGTGTCTGTCTGTGTGTCTATGCGATTGGGGCCGGGAGGGGGCACTTTTGGTGCCCCAGGCTTGCCCTGTTGAATTCAGGCCCTGGGCCTGGGGGTGGGAAGGGAAGAGAGGGATGGATCTTGGATCCTTTCCTGGGTTTTCCTGTGCCCTTCAGGAAAGGAAGACCATTGGCTCCTCAGGCTGGTCCTGCTCACCCTATGTGGGTGTTCACAGAACCTGTCCTGTGTGATTTGGGTCCCCACAAAGGGTGGTTATCCTGGGACCCTAAACCTTCTCGCCCTGGCAACAGAACCCAGGGAGGAGCCAATCAGGAGTGGTCGTAAAATTGCGGAACTCCTGATTGGTGGGCGGATGGGTTGGCGCTGGCTGTGGGCGGAGCCAAGGTGCCGCCCAGCCACCGGCCACGTGCTTCCTTGCAGTGCACGGCGTGTGGGAGGAGTGGGGGTCCTGGAGCCTGTGCTCCCGCAGCTGCGGGCGGGGGTCCCGGAGCCGGATGCGGACCTGCGTGCCCCCCCAGCACGGCGGCAAGGCCTGCGAGGGTCCCGAGCTGCAGACTAAACTCTGCAGTATGGCCGCCTGCCCGGGTCAGTAGCGCCAAGGGGCTTCTAGGCAGGCGCTGCCCAGCCGGGTGGGGGGGATCGGAAGACAGAGGGGAGGCAGTCAGGTTCAGTGCCCTTGGAGGGGTGGGTTCCTGTAGCTTTGACCACGCATGGGGAGACTGGAGAAGTCTAGCTGCCAGCAACCAATGGGAGGTGAAACCCAGCCCTGACTTGGAGTTGGTACACTGTGACCTCATCAGAAGGGACCTGCTTTCCAGTGCCCATTCCTCCATGCCCTCAGCTGCCCTTGCTGTAAATAGCACTTTGGTGTCCATGGTACCATAGACACAAAGCTGGGCTTACGGGTAGGCAAAGATCAAAAGGTGCCATTACAACCTACATCCTCACACAAAAAATCTCACCGCTGGGGCTTGCCCTTGGTGCTGCGTGGAGAGGTATCATGTATTCCTGGAGCTGGTGAGGGGCAGGCAGAAAGAGGCCCAGTCACCACCCACTCTCTCCAGACCCTTTCATATGCCCGGCTCAGATGGTCTGGCCTGGCGCAGGTCTGAGTGACCAGCAGGCTCTGCCATCTCCTTGTGGAACTCCCCCCACTACTAGCCCACCCACGTTCTGCTCAACGGCCACCCCTGCTTGTGTCTCCCCATGCAGTGGAAGGCCAGTGGCTAGAATGGGGTCCCTGGGGCCCATGCTCGTCATCTTGTGCCAATGGGACCCAGCAGCGCAGCCGGAAGTGCAGTGTGGCGGGTCCAGCCTGGGCCACATGCGCAGGTGCCCTCACCGATACCCGTGAGTGCAGCAATCTCGATTGTCCGGGTGAGTTCTTGGTGTGAAGGTAGCAGGTGGTAGCCCTGACCTTGGAGATATGCATGGCGTCTTACGCTTCCCTTCTGTCGTAGCCGCTGATGGCAAGTGGGGGCCGTGGAACGCATGGAGCCTGTGCTCCAAGACATGTGACACGGGCTGGCAACGCCGCTTCCGCATGTGCCAGGCTTCTGGTACGCAGGGCTACCCTTGCGAGGGCACAGGAGAGGAAGTGAAGCCCTGCAGTGAGAAGAGGTGTCCAGGTACTGCCTATACAACCCCAGGGCTGGGGGCACGTGTATGAGCCCAGCTGAGCCCCACCCCCACCCTCTCCCCACAGCCTTCCATGAGATGTGCAGGGATGAATACGTGATGCTGATGACGTGGAAGAGGGCGGCAGCTGGCGAGATCATTTACAACAAGTGTCCCCCTAATGCCTCGGGTAAGGGCAGGTGGCTGTCCCCGAAGATCCTTCCCCCACCATCCCTCCTGCCCACCTTTGGGCCCAAGCCCTGGGTCTGCATTCCAAGATATCGAGGGGGCATAGGCCAGCGCTCAGCAATAACGCCTGCCACTGTCTTATCTTTCTGCAGGTTCTGCTAGCCGCCGCTGTCTCCTCAGCGCCCAGGGCGTGGCATACTGGGGACTGCCCAGCTTTGCTCGTTGCATATCTCATGAATACCGCTACCTGTACCTATCCGTGAGTGTGCATGGTTGGGTTGGGAGGAGGGGCATACGATGTGTCCCAACCCTGGCAGGAGCTTAAGTCCCATCCATTCCCCCATGCCTTGGTGTAAACTGTGTTTCTCTTTGGCAAACTCCTATGTCAGGGCCTCTTAGGTATCTTCCTCTATGTCTGATTTGTTCTTACCCACAATGCCTGTGTTTTACCCACAATGCCTCATCCTGAGCTTCTTAGACATAGAGAGTTAAGAATGCATAGAAGCTGGGCATGTTCACACACCTTTAACCCAGCACTGGAGGGGCAGAGGCAGCCTCTGAGTTCGAGACCAGCCTGGTCTACATAGCAAGCTTCAGTATTGTCAGGGCTACATAGAGAGACCCTGTCTCAAGAAACCAAAACCCAAACAAAGAATGCATTTAAGTGTGCTCTGCAACACTGGGAGCTCTTTGAAGGCAGGGACAATGCTGGAGTTATCTTTGTGTCCCTAGTTCCCAGCCCAGGGCTTGCGTGGGGGCAAGGATGGTGTCAACAAACGTGGCCTGTGTGTACATGCTTTTGACCAAATTGGGTATTGATATTGTGTTTGCACCAAAAGCTTGTATTTGAGAGATCCTGTGTGTGTGGTGCTTCAGAATGTTCAAGGCCACTTAGGGACAGGGAGGTGCACAGTCCCCAAATCAGCATATTATTCTGCATTTGGACATCTGAGTTCCTTCTGTCTCCAAAATCATCTCTGCCTCCTTCTCAGACTGTCTCCTGGGAGCCTCTCTTTGATCCTGTGTGCCCTCTCTCTTCCTGGATGCACCTAGTGGGTAGAAGGGAGGCCAGGCCAAGGGCTGCTCCCAGTTTCTGATGCTACAGTGACAGGGACACATGTGTTACCTACAGCTTCGGGAGCACCTGGCTAAGGGCCAGCGCATGCTGGCAGGTGAGGGCATGTCCCAGGTGGTGCGGAGCCTGCAGGAGCTACTGGCACGGCGCACTTATTACAGCGGGGACCTCCTCTTCTCAGTGGACATCCTAAGGAACGTCACTGACACCTTCAAGAGGGCCACCTATGTCCCTTCCGCTGATGATGTGCAGGTACTGCTCCACAGTGGCGGGGGCTGCTGGGGCAGCTCGGAGGCTCACACCTCCTGACCCATCCGTCTTTCCCCAGCGTTTCTTCCAGGTGGTGAGCTTCATGGTGGATTCAGAAAACAAGGACAAGTGGGATGACGCTCAGCAGGTGAGGGGCTCAGCCTCCAGCAGTCTCCTTTTAGGACCCACCACCCTGCCTCAGATCCTCAGACCCTGTCTGTTCCCAGGTGTCGCCTGGCTCTGTGCACCTGCTGCGTGTTGTGGAGGATTTCATTCACCTCGTAGGCGATGCTCTCAAGGCCTTCCAGAGCTCTCTCATCGTCACGGACAATCTGGGTAAAAGGTCGCAGGCGGGGGAGGGGGTGCTGAATCCGATTAGAACCTTAGCACCCTACTTCCCTGGGTGAGGGATGGTGCTGAGGGAAGCTTCTGGTTTGCTCTTTCATTTACAAGCTTTGTCCTTCCCTCCACCTAACCCCGTGCTTCTGTCTTTCTGTGCGCCTTCCTCCACCGTCTCTGTGCTCATGCACCTCGCTTCTATGTTGGTTCTGACGTCCGTGTGTCTTCCCTGGTGTGCATCTCCCCGCGTCTGTCTTTGGCATGCCCTGCCCACCCTCCCTCTGCTGCAGTGATCAGCATTCAGAGAGAGCCTATCTCAGCGGTGTCCAGTGACATCACATTTCCCATGCGGGGCCGCAGGGGCATGAAGGACTGGGTGCGACACTCAGAGGATCGCCTCTTCCTACCCAAGGAGGTGCTCAGCCTGTCCTCCCCAGGGAAGCCAGCCACACCTGGGGCAGCCACCGCAGGCAGCCCCGGCAGGGGGAGGGGCCCAGGAACGGTACCTCCTGGCCCAGGCCACGCCCACCAGCGCCTTCTCCCAGCTGACCCGGAAGAGTCCTCCTCCTACTTCGTGATCGGTGCTGTGCTCTACCGCACCCTTGGCCTCATCCTGCCGCCCCCAAGGTGAGTCCGCTGGAGAGCGTCTCCTCCTGCCGTCGTATGCCTGGAGGTCCCTTGTCTGGCTGTGGACATAGTCACTTCTCAGAAACATGAAAGACAAGCATGAGGACCCCAGGACCAGTGTCAGCGGTTCTCAACCTTCCTAATGCTGCGACCTTTTAATACAGTTTCTTATGTTACAGTGACCCACCCCCCCCAGCCATAAAATCATTTTCGTTGCTATTTCGGAACTGTAATCTTGCTATGGTTATGAATTGTAATGTAAATATGTATTTTCCTATGGTCTTCTTGGGGGGAAGAGGATCGGGACCCACAGGTTGAGAACCATGGACCTATATAAACCAGCCTGGCATGTTAACAATGTGTTTGCATTTTTTTGCTGTTGGGAAGGCGAATGAGGTAGCTCTCTGGGCTTACAGGCTCACTAGACTAGCCAGCTTTGAGAGTGTAGGCCAGTAAGAGAGCCTGCCTTAAGAAAGTGGCTAAGGAACAGCCGAGGTAGTCTTTATGAACACACATGTACAAGCACTTGCATATATACACATGTGCATGCATACACAGATCCACAAAACCAAAACACCTAGTCCGTTCCCAGAGGCTGTGCTGGGCCCCATAGAGCTCTGCGCTCACACTTGGCCCTTGGCCCTGGTAGTCCCATCTATAACAGGTTAAAGTTTTTAAGTCTGGGGACCTGCCGGCAGGAGCTGACCTCAGTATTTGTCCCCCCAGGCCTCCACTTGCGGTCACCTCCAGGGTGATGACAGTGACCGTGCGTCCCCCTACCCAGCCTCCAGCTGAGCCCCTCATTACAGTGGAACTCTCCTACATCATCAATGTGAGTGAGGCCCGGATGGGGACCCTAGCTATCTGCCCACACAGGGCCTGAGGGCTAGCTCTCTCAGGGAGGTGCTCTGTGCTGGACGGTGGGCCTGACCTGTGTCGGAGCTTCTGTGGCAGGCTCAGTGATGGCCAGGGATGGCAGGCTACTCACCCGACTGTACACATCTTTTTGCTCTCCAGGGCACCACCGATCCCCACTGTGCCAGCTGGGACTACTCGAGAGCGTGAGTTGGGGCAACCCTAGACCCTCTCATCAGAAATGGTCTCCCATCTAGAAAGTCAAAGGGTTCCTTGGTGCCGTGCTTGGGCTGAGGGGTCAAAAGCACATCTTGGGGCTCCCTGCTGTCATCTCGTGGACGTAGACTTGTCCTGGAGTCTCACTTGACTGGGAAGTAGTCAGCTTTGGGGCTACAGAGCTGGGCCCTGGGTTCATGCCACCTCTCCCTCCTCCAAGAGATGCCAGCTCGGGGGACTGGAACACCGAGAGCTGCCAGACCTTGGAGACCCAGGCAGCTCACACCCGCTGCCAGTGCCAGCACCTGTCCACCTTTGCTGTCCTGGCCCAGCCACCCAAGGACCTGGTGAGTGGGAGAGAGGCCTGGGCTGCTCAAGGCATCCGGGTAACCCCAAACGCGATTCTGTACAGATGTGCCTGCACCTCCACATGGGAAGGGAGGCTGTTATTGTTCACAGTCATGACACCTGCTCGGGAGTGTGTGGCAGTAAGTGAGAGTGAGCGTGTATGCACATGCATACATTTGGTTGTGTCTGGAAGAGTGTGGGTGAATGGGTGTGAATTCATCTGTGCACGCGTGCCCTTGTGCACATGAGGAGCACGCCTGCTTGCGTCAGACAGGGAGACGGGCTGCCCCACCTTTGCCCTCTCCCAGCGTCCCGTCTCCCACAGACCCTGGAGCTGGCAGGTGCTCCCTCTGTCCCTCTGGTGATCGGCTGTGCGGTGTCCTGCATGGCTCTGCTCACACTGCTTGCCATCTATGCAGCCTTCTGGAGGTAAGTCGGACGTTGAGCAGGATGGGAGGTGGCCAGCTCTCCAGGGTTAGGCAGGCAGCCAATGCCTCTGCCTCTGCCCACTGTGCCCTGTCAGGTTTATAAAATCAGAACGCTCCATCATCTTGCTGAACTTCTGCCTGTCCATCCTGGCTTCCAACATCCTGATCCTCGTTGGCCAGTCCCGGGTGCTGAGCAAGGCAGGTGCAGGCTCCTGGGGGTGTGTGGGAAGGGGCATAAAGGGAGGAGGAGGAGGAAGAGGAGGAGGAAGAGGAGGAGGAGGAGGGTGCCTGCAAGTGAGGGGAGGTGGTTATTCTTTTTAGTGTCTTTTCATTTTATGTGCATTGGTGTTTCGCCTGCACGCATGTCTGTATGAGGGAATCAGATCCCCTGGAACTGGAGTTGCAGACAGCTGTGAGCTGCCATGGGTGCTAGGAATTGAACCTGGGTCCTCTAGAAGAGCAGCCAGTGCTCTTAACCACTGAGCTATCCTGATGTACACTCAGGACGGATGTACACTCAGACCCTATGGTGGAGAAGACGTGTGTGAAGTCAGGCGCAGACGTACTTGAAGGCGTTGCTCTGTGTGTGTGTGTGTGTGTGTGTGTGTAATGAGTAATGAGTGTTTGTGTACATCAGTTAATGTGTGCGTGAGCGCCTAGGTGCATGTGTGTGGGGCGGGAGGCATTGGACCCCACCTCTTGTCTGTGAGTCCTCCATCTGCCTGTGGATGCTCCATGCTGACTGCCCCTCCCACCCCACGAGGCCTTCCCTGCTCAGTTCGAGCACTGTGGGAGCCAGGTGTGGGGTTCTGCTCGGCCATGACGTGGCAAGTGCTCCTGTCTGTGTGTGGGTGGCCTGCCTGCCCGCCTCCTCGGATGCCTAGTGCTGTGTGCATGTCACCAGGCCTGTGTCGTGCTGTGTGTGGGTGCAGGAAGGCGGGGGTGCCTGGCAGGGCTCTGGTGGGGGAGGGGGGCTCAGGTAGGCGGCCGGCCATGCAGTGCCTAGGCCTAGCACTCAGTGTGGGAAGCTGGCAGCTCCCACCCCGGCCACTGCTTAGGGCCACTCCCTCCTGTTACCTCTCCCTGCAGGGCGTATGCACCATGACGGCTGCCTTCCTACACTTCTTCTTTCTGTCCTCCTTTTGCTGGGTGCTTACAGAGGCCTGGCAATCCTATCTGGCTGTCATCGGGCGGATGCGCACCCGCCTGGTTCGCAAGCGCTTCCTCTGCCTGGGCTGGGGTGAGCAAGGCCGGTGCTGGACTCTGCTGTTGGGCCTGGAGTGGCAGGGAAAGCCAGGAATGTGCTGCCTGGACTCTGGCCCAGCCCTCTGGGGATGGGAGTCAGTTGGGTTGGAGGATGATAAGGAGGTGTTGCCTGAGCACCTGCAGCCTTCTCACCTGTAACCCTGTCCCCAGGTCTCCCTGCCCTGGTGGTGGCTGTGTCTGTTGGCTTTACTCGCACCAAAGGATACGGTACATCCAGCTAGTACGTGCGCCTCCAGTGATGATGGTGGGGGTGGAGGGGTTTGTGGGTCTGTTGGGGGAGTTGGACTGGGTGTTAGGTCTTCTCAGGCTAAGGTCTTCACCTATACTTATTGCAGATTTCTGGGTAAACTTCCTTCTCACTGAGCCTCAGTTTCCCTGGCTGTAGAAGAACATGTTGGGATGGGTCATTTCTAAGCACCACGGCACTTAGGGGTCAGCACTCTTGTATTTCTCTGGGGGCCCGATGTGAGTCTCTGTGGGAGAGGAACAGACTTATCAAGACATGGCTGTGTTTCTCTCCACCTGGAGGCTTAGTATCTCTCGATGATGTGGCCATGACCACCCAGGGTCTGAGGATGTAGGGAGGAAGGACTTGCTGGGAATCTGATCTCCTCTTTTCTCCCCTTCTCCAGCTGCTGGCTGTCCCTAGAGGGAGGCCTGCTGTACGCCTTCGTGGGTCCAGCGGCAGTCATTGTCCTGGTATGTGTGTGCCCCTTTCAGCATCCAGGGAGGGATGTGGCCCCAGAGGGTCATCGTCTCCTTTTGCCTTCTCCCTGACCTCCAGCTCCCACCTGGGGGTGTCCTTGCCCTGAGGGCACCTGGTGATCCTGTCTTTCCCACTCGGCTCAACCGGGCCCCCAGGTGAACATGCTCATCGGAATAATCGTCTTCAACAAGCTCATGGCTCGAGATGGCGTCTCAGACAAATCTAAGAAGCAGAGGGCCGGGTAAGGGGAGGGTCTCTGCAACTCAGTCTTCCTGGGCAGTGTGCAGGGAGGGGGGGCCGAGGATACCTCGGAGACTCAGGGCTTGCTGATGCCGACCCAGGCTTCCCAACCTTGGGACATCAAGGGTGCAGGCAAGGTGGGCGCCCGGAGTGCTCAGCTGCAGACCCTCGCCCACCCTAACCCAGCTCTCTCTCTCTCGTCTGCCCTCCCCTCCTACCCTTCTCGGGGCTCATTCTGCCCCATCTCCCGGCTTCCCATGTGTTTCCCCCTTCTCCCGTGTCTGTGCCGCCCCCCGAGGTCGGAGCGGTGCCCCTGGGCCAGCCTGCTCCTCCCCTGCTCAGCGTGTGGAGCGGTCCCCAGCCCCCTGCTCAGCTCAGCCTCGGCCAGGAATGCCATGTTAGTTGTGCCCCCTGGGGGGCGGTGGGGGCGGGCAGGGGCTAAGGAACGGGAGGGCAGTGCCCATGGTGGGGGTTGGGAGGGATATCAGCCCAGTGCCTTGGAGAGTTTGCCCTGCCCCTGCCCCCCTAACTGCTATATGCTCCCTGGAGCTCAGGGATGAGGTGTCTGAGGACAATGGGGCTTCCTCCGTAGGGTGCTGTGGTGCCCTGCTCACCCTGCCCTCTGGTCCCCGCCCCTGCTCTGGCTTAATTTTCTAAACAGGCACAGCTGCAGACCCCTCCTCTGACCACCAACCTCAAGGCCCTGAGTATCGTAGGCCCTTAGAAGTTTTGAGCTATTAAAACCTTCCAATTAGAATGGAAGAATCTTAGACTTAGACAATCAGACTCGTAAGACTGTTAGAATGACTGAAACATACATATCTGTCATAGAATCTGACTTGAATTTCAGAGGCCTTGGCCTTCACAATCAAGGCAGAATCCTGGAAGGAGACAATTATTTCACTGAGGCACCCCACCTAGCAGCTAAGGAGCTCAGAACCTCAGCCATGCAAGAGTACAAAGGCCTTGGGCCCAACCCTCCTACCAGGGTTGGAAGTCCACCTGAGTCACGCCAACCAGTGAGGGCACAGCTTTGTCACATTCCCCAGGGGGCCTGTGGAGGCGTCTGGTGCCATCACTGTGGAGCTCCATGGTGCTCAAGGAGCTGAGAGCTTCCTCTGCTTCAGGCTACCACAGCTCTATGCCTAGTCTGCTGAACCAGCAGATCACAGGGTGGGCCTTAGAGTCTGCTGCCAAGCTGGATTTTTGTCCCAGTTCTCCTCTCCCGGTCCAGCTGGGCACACTCCAGTCTCCTCATCTGTCAATTGGGATACTAGTCCCCGGGCCTGTTTGTTGGAGTTGTTTTGATCACAATTTGAAATAATCTATGTAAAGTGTTCAGTGGAGGGCCTGGCAGAGAGTCGCTGGTTAATCAATGACAGCTCTTATTACTGTGATTAGAGCATTTCTGGTTCTTGGCTCCGCCTCCAGGGCTTGACAGACACTGTGCCTCCTCCACCCCAACCTTGCCTGGCTCAACAGCCCTGAACCTCTCTTCACAGGACAGGCCTTGGCCCCCTGCCCGCCCATCTTTCTGCCTCAGCCTCTGGCTGTCTCTGCAGAATGGTGCCACCCTGCCCTGTCTGGAGCTGTGCCTGACTCTCCACTGGGGGTGCTGCGGGTGGGGTACAGTGGGCTGGGTGTGGCTCCTTGCCTGGTAGGGCAAGGCAGCTCCTTCTATCTCCTGTTCCTCGTGGGCTATAGTAGTTGCGGGGATGGAGAACAGTCTGTTGGCCACTGCCTGTCTGCCTTTTTTCTCTGCAAGGAGGCTGGGAATACATGGGCTTGGTTCTGACCCCAGCTATGACCCTTTTGGCTTGGGCTCTGAGCAACCACCAGGAGCCAGAGGCTCCTCCATGCCTCCAGAGGCTCCTCCATGCTTCCAACTGGCTAGGCTTGGCCCCATCTTCTCTGCAAGGATTTGTGATGTGGTGTTCTCTACATCTCTGCCTGTTTAGTCCTCCTGTCTGGGGCGTCTGTCTCATACTCTTCTTACTGTGGGGTCATCTATCTTTGGTCTTCTGCTCCTTCTCTCCCCAGCCTACTGTCTTGGAATCTCTGGAGATATGGCTCTGAACTGTGTCTTTTTTCCAAAGCTTCCAAGGTGCAAGTTGGGCCTGACGTTCCCCATGTTTGCTACTGTCTGCCCTTGCTTCCCTCCTGTTTCGGCCCTCCTCATATCTGCTTCCCAGTATCACCTCTGTGCCTGCTCTGCTGAGTCCCACTGAGTCTGTGTATCCATACCTCTCATGGCCCCTGCTCTGGCCCTGTAGTTCCGTCTTTGTCCTCTGTTTCTCCTCCAGTTCCTTGGGCCCTCTCTGCTTGGAAACACTCCTGAGGTCCTGGAGTTTGGGGCCCTGCCAGTCCCCAAGCTGAGTGGAGGCCCAGGCTCCCACCGTCCAGTCCTGTAGAGTGTCATGCTGACAGACTTTCTGCTGCTGTCCCTCTCAGGGCTTCACTCTGGAGTTCCTGCGTGGTGCTGCCTCTCCTGGCGCTTACCTGGATGTCTGCTGTCCTGGCCATGACAGATCGCCGCTCCGTCCTATTCCAGGCGCTCTTTGCCGTTTTCAACTCTGCGCAAGGCTTTGTCATCACCGCTGTGCACTGCTTCTTGCGCAGAGAGGTGGCTAGGCTCTTCGTGTTTGTCTTCCCGCCCCCTGCCCTCCCACTGAGCTCTGGCTTCTCCCCACTGTGTGGAACAGGGTGACCAGGGTATTTCAGGCCCTTGATGAGAGCACTTATAGCTCTGGTAGCCCTGAAGGCCTGGGCCTCCTTCAGCTCCTTCTCCCTAACATCCCAGCCTATCCCTGTCTCTCCTCCTACCTCTAGTCTGGGCACCTGGGGTGGGAAACCCTGCCCACTATTGCGGGGTGTTATGGAGGCTTTGGGCCCAGCAGGTGTTTCCTGTCCCCAGGTACAGGACGTGGTAAAATGTCAGATGGGTGTGTGCCGCGCTGATGAGAGCGAGGACTCCCCAGACTCGTGCAAGAACGGGCAGCTGCAGATCCTGGTAAGCGAGGAGGCCTGAGCAGATCCCCTGCCCTAAGTTCCTTTCCTTCCCCATCCCATCTGAGACAGAGACTGGGTTTAAGTCTCGGTCAGCTGCTGACTGCCGGGAGGTGCTGGGCAAAGGCTTGCCCCATTCAGTTTCCTCCCTGCAGTTTGAAGTTATATTGGGTAGTCGCTCAGGTGGGAGGACTGAGGAGCTGGGGAAGGAGAACCGGAGCCTTTCCCACCCTGACACATCTCTCCTCCCTCTGCCAACTTGCTTCCTCCCTCTCGACCTGTAGTCAGACTTTGAAAAGGACGTGGATCTGGCTTGTCAGACAGGTGAGTCTGTTGGACGGATTTAAGAAGCCGTAGGCGTGGGCAAGACAGGAGCCCACATGCTGTCATAGCAGCCCTGATGGGGACCAGACTGCTAGTGTCCTGTTTTGACATTAGACAGGAACAGGTTAGATTTACATCTGGGAAGGCCAATTACCACTTGCCTCTGGGCAAAATCCCCTCTCTTGAGCCTCAGCTACCCACCTGTGAAGGCGAAAATAGCATCATCTCCTGTCGGGTGGAAGGCCCAGGGCCTACGTGAATTAGGGGACATTGAGTTTCCAGTAGGGGCCTTGGCATGTGTTAACCACTGCATTCTTCCATAAGTCCAGTGGCTTTCACTGGCATCACCTGCCATCTTTTCTCTAAGGTATATGCTTCCCTAGGGAACGGAGGGGAGCAGCGCCTTCCTCCCACAGTCTTGGGACTGTGGGGAAGAAGTTAGGACTTGTACCAGGGCCCTCATGGCAGCTCAGCCTTGGATTTCCTACTCTGCATCCCTTGGTCCCATGAGCCAATTGTCTTTCTGGTCCCTCTGGTATATGGGAGAGTACCAACCACCTCCCCAGAACTCAGTTTCCCTCACTGCTCAAGGTCAGAAGCTTAGTCCCCAGCCAAACCTGGGCAAGAAGTTCTCTTCACATGGCCTCCCTTCCTTAGGGCTTACCTCTTCCTCCCATTTCTGTTCCCCAGTTCTGTTCAAGGAGGTCAACACTTGCAACCCGTCCACCATTACCGGCACTCTGTCCCGCCTGTCTCTGGATGAGGACGAGGAGCCCAAGTCCTGTCTCGTGGGTCCTGAGGGTGGCCTCAGCTTCTCACCACTGCCTGGGAACATCCTAGTACCCATGGCAGCCTCACCAGGTCTAGGGGAGCCACCACCACCCCAGGAGACCAACCCTGTGTACATGTGTGGGGAGGGTGGCCTGCGGCAATTGGACCTTACATGGCTACGGCCAAGTGAACCAGGCTCTGAGGGGGACTACATGGTGCTGCCCCGGCGGACTTTGAGCCTGCAGCCTGGTGGTGGGGGTACAGGGGGTGAGGAGGCCCCAAGGGCCCGGCCTGAGGGGACCCCCCGGCGGGCTGCCAAGACGGTAGCCCACACTGAAGGCTACCCCAGCTTCCTGTCTGTGGAGCACTCTGGTCTAGGGCTGGGCCCTGCCTATGGGTCTCTCCAGAACCCATATGGGATGACCTTCCAACCTCCACCACCGACACCCAGCGCACGCCAAGTACCAGAGCCAGGAGAACGTAGCCGGACCATGCCCCGTACAGTCCCTGGTTCCACTATGAAGCTGGGCTCCCTTGAGGTGAGGGGCTACGAAAAGTAGGGAGGGGACTCTACCTACTAAGTACCTGAGATCATGTCTAAGTCATGGGCTGCAGTCAGGAAGGGACAGCTATCAGCCTTCCCCAGAGCAGTGCTGGCGGGCTCATACCAATGTGTATCCTTCCTTCTACTGGGGTTCACAGAGCTCAGCTTCCAGGAGACTCTGGGTTGTCTGAGTGCTTCAAATGGGTGAAGCTTCATGAGTCCATTCACTTAGAGCTCTGGTACCCACTCTGGGGTGACTGGTCAGGATGAGTCCTCCATCACTGCCACCATGGCTCAGGTGCCAAATTCGTAAGGCAGAGGCTGAGCCTGGGCCTCTGCAGCGCGTGGATCTGAGTCAGGTCTGGACTTGCTGACCAGCAGTGAGATGCTGACCACACTGCGCCGTCTCTCTGAGCCTTGGCTTCCTTGTGCGTAAGTGGGGATAGCTTGGAGCAAGGGATGATATAAGCCTTTGATTCCTGTGTGGAATAAGTACACAGCGCTAGAAAATTGGAAGATACTGTTATCACAGAAATTGGCTCAAGGTGCTGCCCTTGACCTCGGATGGGAAAATGGAAGCCCCTCTGTTTCCTCTGCCCTGCCCCCTGCAGATCATCCCTGGGGACATACAGATTAGTAGAAGCCCAAAGTAGGACTCAAGGGTATTCTAGAAATCTAATTGGAGGGATGAGGGGGATGTGGATAAGGAAAGAGGTCGGAGTCCCAGCTTCTACACAATTAGCTGTTTGTGTCTAGCCTGGAAAAGTTGCTCTCTGTCCTCTGCGCAAAGACAATGAAGTTAGCAGCTAGAGAGGTCACAAAGTTTAGCTTTGTGCCTAAAATGTTCTCTGAACATTTGGTGCCTGCTCCTGCCACAGATGGCAACAAAACAGGAAGGCGTTCCCAAAGACAGAAAAGACGACAGAGACAGAGATTGGCATCAGTGATGGGTTGGGGGGGGGCGCAGTGTGCTTAGCACCCCGGTAGGTTTTGTTCTGTGGCACCTGCCTGCGGTTGGACCACTGGGGAGGGACCAGTGCTTGGCTTCTTGTGTGGGAGGTGGTAAGAAATGGCAGATGCTTGAGGGGTCAAGGATAGTGTCTAGAATAGTATAGGCCCAATAGAGGCACAGGCGTGGGTCGGCTGAACCGTAGAGCACTATGGGTAAGGATATCGGTGCTGTTGTCTGTAGAAATAGAGATGAAGGTAGGGATGGGCAAAGCTTAGTGATGGAAAATCAGGCTGGAGGCAGAGTAGGCTGGAAGACAGGAGGAAAACCGAGAGAGTGGAGTCGGTGGGTCTTACAAAATCCACCTCGTGCTTTTAACATCACCTCTGGAGGGCCTGGGGCCAAGTGGCAAGTCCCTTTTCCTCCCCCCCCCCCCCCGTCTCAGTTTCCCCACCTAGCTGGAACAGTTGACCTTGGTCTTGTGAGTTCTCTCCATGCCAGCATTCTAAGACTGAAGTCTCCTCCAGTGGCATTGGATGTCACCGAGCTTGTTGGGGCTTTGAAGGTGACCTTGGCCAGGCAAGGGTCAGAAGAGCACAAGGAAGCAGGGAGTCAAAAGAGGCAGGGTGGGGGCACACAGGCTGGGCATGAAAAGCCTAACATTCTCTCTGCAGGGCAAGTACAGGATTCTAGGGAGATGGGTGGGGGCGGGAAGCATGGGGCAGGAGAGAATGCTAGAATCCAGGGCACAGACAATAAGCATGGTAACCCTGCCTCGTCACAGCTGACCCGTGTCTGCATCCGTGTGTGTGCTCCCAGGAGCACATCTCTTCACATACATGCACTGCAGACCTCAGCCACTGTGCTGTGACCCCAAGGGCTAGCTCATAAGATAAGGGTTCTCAACTCCAGGGTCTGGGTGAGGGGAAGGTACCATAGAGTCCTAGGGCCCAAGGTTGCCTGTGAAAAGTTCCTCTCTCATGGCCTGCTTGTTGCTCCGTAGCGAAAGAAGCTTCGGTATTCAGACTTGGACTTTGAGGTGAGTACTGATGTTGGGAGGGGGCATGTCCCAGAAGGTTGAGTCCTAAAATTATCCCACGCTCCATTGCAGAGCCCAATCTTGGGCCACCAAGCCTTTGGATTCCCCGAGATCTAACCCAATGTCTTGCTCACATACGTTACTCTGAGGCAGAAATAGAGCCAGGGTCTGAGGACAGACAGACAGAAAAAAAGAGGGAAGGGAGGGAGAGGCTAGCGCAGGAGAGCAAGGGAAGTCCTAGCCTTGCCCCAGTGGGGCCCACAGGTGAAGGGCAGAGAGCAGGGAGCACTCCTCTGACAGCCAAGTGACTCCTAGAAGGTGATGCACACCCGGAAACGGCACTCGGAACTCTACCACGAACTCAACCAGAAGTTCCACACTTTCGACCGCTACCGTAGCCAGTCCTCAGCCAAGGTGAGGGCTCTTCTGTTGCTGCCCCTGCCCACCCCACTGAGTGCATGGTTCCTGAGGGGTGGCCCTCTCACTTGGACCCTGTTGGTAGAGTGTGTCCTTGGGTAGCGTGGTACATATATTGCTCAAGTCCTTCTGGGTGAGGCTCCGAGGACCTCCTGTCTTGCTGAACTCACATGCCTGGAAAACTTCAGCTTGCCTCACCAAGGAACTGCCTGCATAAGCAGCAGTTTCAAGGTTCCATAGAGGTAGGAAGGTGCCCCAGAGAGCAGACACTAACAGGGTCTCCCGAGATTAGAAAGGAGGATGGGCAGACAGGAGACATGACCTCAGGGGAACACTGCTGCAGTAGCGGTCAATAAGGGTCTGGCAATTAATTGTGTTTGACTGTGCCTCATACCTGATCATTCAGTGACACTGGACAGTCTTGACCCTTCTGGGACATCCTCGGTTTGCTCTGTACAGTGGATGAGAGTGTGTCACAGGCTCACCCTGCTCCTTTCACAGGAGAAACCCAGCCCCCCGGGGGGACGCCCTGGCTTGTCACAGCACAGGAGGCATCAAAGCTGGAGCACCTTCAAATCTATGACACTGGGCTCACTGCCCCCCAAGCCTCGAGAACGGCTGGCCCTGCACCGGACAGCAGCCTGGGAGCCCACAGAACCGCCAGACGGTGACTTCCAGACAGAGGTGTGAGTGCCACGCCGGACTGCCCACTGCACAGAAATATATATATCTATTTTCACACTCCACTTTGGAACTACCAGGAGCCAGCGCCCCTCCCCCTCCCGAGGCTGGGCAGGAGGTGCAGAGGACTCAGCCTGGCTGGGGGCAGCCAGACTGGCAGGGCCTGGGGGCCAGGGCCCCTCCTTGTTCTCAGAGGCCCCTTAGCCACCCACGGGAGCCTCATCTTTGCCCCAGCCTGTCTGTCCCTGTCCTGGGCTGGGGAGGAGGGAGGGAAACTTTGTTGGGAATAAACTTCACTCTGTGGATTTGGCTGCTGAATTGCTTGCTGCCCCTAGGCAGAGCCCAGCCCTGAGACCCCAACTTTGTTCCTCCAGCTCCTTAGTTGTAAAATGGGTTCAGGCCAAGCCTGACTGAAGGGGATAGCTGCATGCTGACCCTCTCTTTGGCCCTGACTCCCTTAGTATAGACCCCTCCCCTGATCTGCGCTGGAATAAGAAGCTGGACGTCTGAGGTAGGACACCCTGTAACTGAGTGACTACCTTGATCATGGCTACCTTTCACCAGGGCATGGGCCCGGGCTGTTCACACTGAGTTGCTGTGAGGGGACAGGATCTCAGGTGAGTGTTAGGAACACTACACATATCTCTGGTGCTTCACAGCGTCCATGCTAGGGAATTACACATTTTGTGGTTACAGAATGAAGAGATTGAAACTGACATGCTCAGGGCCATGGTCAAAGGCAGAGCCTGGATTCACACACCCAGGCTTGTGGAGGTAGCATTTCAGCTCGGCCTTCTGGGACTTGACCTTCATCACTACAGTGGAGCTATGATGGGCTGGATTGTTGGGGGAGCTTCTGGTGTGGTATGGAGTTGAGGGTGGAGAAGCAAAGCTGGCTTGGTGCTAGAGGGCGGGGCTCTGAGGCCCTTTGCTGGATTGCATTCTCCACACGTCTGAGTTCCTGGGCACCCGTACAATGGAGCATGGGAGCAGCATGTGGAAGGTCTCGTGGTATGTGCTGTCGCTCTTCCAAGTAAGCAGGAGCTGAGCTGCTGTGGCAGCCACAGGCATCGCTTGCTAGCCTGGGCATTGAGTAACATGACCATCTCTGGACCTGCAGGGACTCTTGAGACACACAAATCCAGGCCCTTGAGGGAGCTGCTGTGGGATCGGAATGTGAGAAGGAACGGGTCACTAGGGTGGGTTGTCACAGCTGATGACAGCCTCAGACTGGCTGGATGAAGGGTGTGGGCCAGGACTTTTTTTTTTTTTTTTTTTTTTTTTGATTCTGCAGGCTTTGGCACAGGCTTCCATTGGAATCCTGCCTGAGGTGGGTCCTGGTTAGAGTAGATCATAGTCCTCCCAGGACTGTGCTCCTAGCCTATGTACACCACCCATTCCCCAGTGTTTAGTTGTACAGTGTTCACTGGGACACTGATTTATCTGAGTTCCAGACAGATATTTAAGTTCCTTGTTTTACAGATGTAGAAAGTGAGACTCAGGAGGGATGTGACTTTCTCCAACTCCCCCAGTATATGAGGGGCACAGGATTGACCCCAGGCCACCATGGGAGGTGGGAGGAGGGAGAGGAGGAGGAAGAAGACACTAATCTCTCACAGCTTGTGAGTGACTAATTGGGCCATGTTTGGAGAGGAGGCAGAACCTGGTGCCAGCCGGCAAGGCACAGGGGAACCTCACTCACTCAGGAATACACACCCAGGACAAGGACAGACGTGGGTGTAGGTGGCTGGCCGTGGGTGATGGGCTGAGTCTCACTGTGCCTCATTCCCTCCCCGCTTGCTCCATTCTGCTGGCCAGCCTTCCTCACCTCCTGGGCCAAACAAGGCTCCCCTGCCATCACTCTGCCTTGGCCCCAAAGGGAAAGATATTTTTCTCTTGAATTCCGATTAGAAAAATGTCCAAGGAAGGAAAAATTCTGATTGGTCCCAAGCACTGTGATTGCCAGTCTCTTTAGGAGTCCTGGTGAGGGAAAACAGTCTCAAAATGGTGGGGTGGGGGTGCTTATTCCTAGGAGGGGGCAATAGGGTTGCACAAACAAATCCCTGCTTTGGTGCCAGCAAGACCCCACTTCCCATCCTTGCCAGGCCTTCCTCAGAGCTCGCCCCTGCATCTCTAACGGAATTCTTATTGCCTTTTCCTCTACTCCCATTCCTTCCCATCCCTGGGCTGCACCAGCTGTCACCTCCTGTGAGCTCTCTGGGGCTGAGCTGTGAGGTGGAATCCTCCCCCTACTTTCTTCTTGTGGAAATTGGGTCCACCTTGCTGACTCCGCTCCCTCAGCAGCCAGTGCTCGCAGCAGAGGCTCCTGACAGTTTTGAGACCTATCAGGTCCATGGTCAGGGGCTAAGCTTTGCTAGGGTGGGTTTGTGCCCCTGCCTGACCCCTAGTCCCTACTTCCACAGGCACTCACTCACTCACCTGCCTCATGATCTTGGGCAGGTTGCTGGACATTGTCTGACCTGAATTTCATTTGTTTTGAAGGGAGATCTTGGAGATTGAACCCAGAGCTTTTAAGCAGGCTGTCACTCAACCAATTGCTAAGCCAGACTTGAGCTCCCATTCTTGACCCGATAGCTGTTCTATATGCACCGATTTCTAACATCCTGCATTTCCTAGGCTTGACTATCCCTTCATTATCCTCATGTTCTTTGTCTCTGGTCCCCAGCTCTTCACATGCATGGCCCATATATGATCTTTCTAGATCACAGATCTGGCAGTCCATTGCCCAGAGCAGAGGCATGAAGATCTGTCTAGAAGGCATGGCTGCTGCCTGTCTCTTCTGACCTTTCACCTCTATGCCTTTCCTTCCACTTCTACTCTTGCCTGTTGAATTGGCAAATTATGTTCCTCCAGCTTAGGAAGCCCTGTTTGTGATGCTGTGTCTGAGCCCAGGCTCAGCAGGCAGCACTCATTGGGCGTCTGCAATCTGACTTCTAAGAGGCCAGACTTATCTACAGAGTGAGTTATAAGGCATCAGAGCTACACAGAGAAATCCTGTCTTCAAAACCAGAAAACAAAACCAACCAAACAAAGATAGAATTTATAGAGTTTACTGAGCCTTGGTTTCCTCCTTTGCACTGCAGGGTAGGTAATAATAATCCCTACAGTTTTTGAAAGGGATTAACCCCAAAGCCTGTGTATACTAGGCAAGCATTCTAACCATCTGGGGCTGTAGATCAGTGGGAGAGTGATGAGTGTTGGGAGGTGACATCGAGGAGGGAAAGAAGGTGGGGAACATCTTGTAGGTGATAAGCCTTCCTGTAGCAGTCCAGGGGCCTCTGTAGGATCTAACCAAGTCGGGTGCTGCCCATGGTGCTGAAAGGATTTCCTATGCTAAGACACAGAAGGCAAGACTTCATGCCCAGTGAGCTCACCTGCCATTCCTCTTGCCTTGCAGGTGTGGTGCTCCTAGAATGGACACACCAGGCTTTCCTCCACTTGGGGAAGCACCTGGAAATGATACATCCTGTTGACAATTTTCAGATAGCTTTTTTTGTTTTGTTTTGTTTTGTTTTGTTTTTTTGAGACAGGGTTTTTCTGTGTAGCCCTGGCTGTCCTGGAACTCTGTAGGCCAGGCTGGCCTCGAACTCAGAAATCTCCCTGTCTCTGCCTCCCAAGTACTTGGATTAAAGGCACGTGCCACCACTGCCTGGCCTAGATATTTCTTTTTAAAAAATGTTTTATAAAGTTAAACCAGGCATGGTGGCTCACAGGGGAGGCTGAGACAAGATTGTGATGAGTTTGAGGCCAACCTAGGCTACATAGTTCTAGGCCAGCCTAGACTAAAAAGTGAGACTCTATCTGAAAAGACAACATTTAAAAAGTTGAGATTAACTGTAACTATATATTTAACACAATATATTTAAACTATAATTTTTGGAAACATAGTCTTGGACAGCCTAGGCTGATCTTAAAATTGCTGAAAGGCTGAGGTTGGTTTTTAACTCCTAATTCTTCTGTCTTCGTCTTCCAAATGCTATAACTACAGGTACATGCCTCTGTAACTTGCTTAAACAGGATCATTTTTAAAATATAAGATATAAAAATTACCAAGAAAGTATTTATTATTTATTTATTCATTTATCAATCACAGCAGGGTCTTGCAAATAACTCAGACTGACTTTGAACTCACGATCCTCTGCCTCATGTATTATTGTTCATACTTGAATTCTCATGTGTACGTGGTGCACAGCTCAGTGCCATGTTATACACCTCAGTGTCCATGGCTGGTGCTTGTGTGGCCCAGCCTGACTTAGGTAGAACAGAGGCAGCATCTTGTGGCAGTCCACACAGTATCCTTTGAAAAGGAGGAATCTTACTGTGACGTGTCCCACCGGGACCCGGGAGGGTCCCTGGAGGTGTAGGATACGTCCCTAACACAGTGCCAGTGTGAAGGAAGTCCCAAGTTTCTCATGGCATCTGGTGTCTTGGGGATCCTTCTAGGGACAGAGGTGGTGTGAGAAAGTAGGAAAAAGTCCTGAGGACTGAGGGAAAGGCCTTGATTGCCTTCGGCGCAGAAAAGGGTACTCTTTCTCCCAGCCCACCCTTGTCCTAGCTTCTTTCTCCTGGAACCCCAGATCCTAAAAAAAAAGGAATCAAGTTGGGGCTGGTGTTTGAATGCACACATTACAACTCAATTGGGTTTAATTTTCTTTCATTAGGTACCAATTAAAAGGGAATTAGGTGGCCTGAGGGAAGGCCTGTGGCAGTCACTGCTGACTTCTGCCTCAGGACTCCCTTTTCTCTGGGCTTCCTCATACCCACACTCTCTATTTCATGGGGGCCATGTTAGCGTGTTCTGAAGCCAATCTCCAGTGTCTCCATATCCCTCCTTTAGCTCACTTAAGGCCACCTGCTTCGGTAAGACTATTAACCCCTTAGTCCCCAAAGATACATACACAGTGTATGGGGTAAAAGCAACTCCGCTGAGGGTTATGGGATACTAGCAGAGGCCCAGCATGAAGACATTTGGGTGTTCACATGGTTTCTTTGGATGGCTGAGAAATAAGTTTGGGGGCACTAAAGAGTGAGGGTGGCTGCAGAGAGACTAACAAGGCAGCAGTCCACAGGAAGGAGACTTTGTGGGGACCGTCACTGAGGAGAAAGG